ATCGGTCATAGGAGATATGTCAAGGATGGACATTGGATTCGTGACGCAGGGTTTTTGACTGGAAAACGATAACACACTCACCAAAAACGATAACGACAACCTATACCCCGAAAATTGGAAAACGATAACACACTCACCAATTTTCCTTTGACCAGTTGCCCAGACCTTAAACAAAAACTGTGCATCAGTTCCATGCTGGGAGCCAAGCTGGTATGTCACATCGCACGAGATAGCAGGTCTGAGGTGCATTACGTGCCGCCGCCAGGAGTCGCTACGAACCACAGAAAAGAAATTCATCCGAACCAGGGTATGAGCTTATGGTATGTCCAACTTGCAAAAGGCAACAGAAGAGCATCGTCAGCGCCAAAGAAGGAATTGAAAGACACTCAGACGTGCGCAGCTTCATTAGACAAGTTCGCCTCTGAATTCCTTGACCTCACTGCCAGACCGCCACTCTGATCAAGCCTCAAGAACAGCTTGATCATGAGCATCTGATCATGCACCGGCTCTCCGCCCAAGCCCGAAAGGGAAATTGAAATGAAACAAGAGCAACAAACAGTGTTGGTGAGACATTAAGCGTGGCAGCTAAGCTAAGTAAGACTTCGCGGCGGGCAAGTCCAGATAGCTTGCGCTACTCATCCTTTAGGGTCGCTGTCTTGTGCCAGCAATGCTTATCGTTGACGGCAACTTCAAATGCAATCTCTAAACATTTGGCACCCCGTTGAAAGGGCAATAACTGATGAAAGCTTGAACCTCCCCATTTCGTCTTGCAGCAATCTGAGGTGGCATCCGGATTCTTTCAGATCCATTTCAGTCAGGTTTGCATCGCTTGTTTGTGCGTGCGAAGATGAGAGTGCCACCTGCGGATTTGATGACATTCCTTGGTGACTTCCTGGCATCGATTGTGACGGCTGTCCTCAGTGCGCCTCTGAATCAATTATACAACTATGCCGTCATCTCGCAGCGCTATACAGCTGCAGGCCCCCTCCAAAAACTAGTGTTGGCATGGGAGTTTCTGGAGCAGACATATCTGATATGGGGCAGGAACGGTGAGCTTGTAGGTCTGTCAAGCACATTTGGGCGAGACCTTTTCATGCGGTGCGCGTATCTCGCCACACTGATGAGCCTCTTCGGCGCAGTTGAACGACTTGCGGTTATGCTTGGACGATTTGCAAGGACCAAGTGGCAGAGGCAGAGCCAAGAGGAGCTTTCTAGTCCAAAGATCCAAAATGAGTTGGCCACAATCGAGAGTCCCAACAACCAGCTTGCATGTAATGTAAAGACAAGTAGCCAGTGCGAGAAGTATTGAGATGTAATTCGCTTCCGGGCGGTGAATTCTAGTTCGGTGTATGGAGGCTGAAGGCATCCTGCACATGTCCAAAATTGTAAAAATTAGGCAGTCGAGGCTACGGATCCCATACAGATGGAGCAAGGTCAAGATGCATAGCTTGTGGCCATCCATCAGATTTGGAATTTGTTGATGCCTCGATGGTACATCCAATACGGGTGCTCTGGTGCTCCTAGACTGATGCAAGGGTGCCTCCAAGCACTACTCAGAGGGATCAACAGAGCGGCCGACTTCCATTCCCCTTCTGCGAAGTAGAAGGAAAGCAGCACTCCTCGGCAGCACACACAGGTTCCCAGCAGCGTGCCTGGGCGGAAACATGCAGAGACTTTATCTCAAGTCTGCTGCGCAAAGCTTCTTCGGTAATCTGCGGTTGGGATAAGTTTCATTGTTCGGTGCGAACAAGCTTTGCGAAGTACGGCTGTGCAGCCGCACAGCCTGGAGCGCCGTAAAGTTGGGGATCTTCCGATGTCATTTGGTTCCCGCTCGTGCTGGCAGCTTTGGCCCTAATTCATCAGGCAAGCGCACGCGCCGGGACAACATATAAAGCGTGTAAAAGCATTCTGCATGCCTACCCTTGCAGCCAAATTCTCGTTGCTGCTGAACCCGTTACTGCACAGTTTTGCCAGCATCTCCACTGAGGTTGACTGGAGCCTGAGGAGAAGCAATGGCTACTTTGTGGATGCCTCCTTTGGGTTTGATCCGGCAAATTCCTTGGAACATTTGCTTCGCGCTTTCTTTCCGACGTCCTGGCCAGCAGCTGCATGCAAGCCAGGGAAGAGGCATAGACGAGAAGTTTGGTGTAGGTGCAAGCCTCAGCAGCTTTCCCATTGTGACTGGCTTCGTCGCAAGCGTCACACCTCGCTGGTAGCCACGACGCTACTCAGGTTCGCCTGAGTTGCGCTTCTCGCCCGTCGGGGACAAAGGCAGCGTGACACATTCGTCTCTGTGCTGTTGGTTGGCAAAGCAAGCATAAGGCGGTGTGCTACATTGTTGATGGCCTGTGCAAGAGACGCAGAAGCCAATATTGCCTTGCAGGCGACAAAGTTATTGAAGGTGTCAAGAAGGTTCGTCGCTCTCAAATCATGAAGGGCGCTGGCCGTAGACGAGCACGCATTTTGCGATGGTAATCCGCGCGCGCAGTGCGTTGCATGCGTCTGGGCAGCCATGACTTGTTTGAGCTGCTGGCTGAAGCTGGCGATGGTAAGACCTTCCTCTCATGGCCTGTTCCTCATGCAGGCACTGATCGGTATGCGAGTCGGGGGAACCCGACGGGTCATCGTCTATACCTTAGTACGGTCCTTCATGTCGGACTGAAGTGCTCAGAGAGCGTTTGACTGAAGGTCCCTCCTAAGCTTGGCGCGGCGCTCAGATTGCTGTACAACATGCAACTTGCACACCGGACCTGGACGGAAAAACTAGAGAGCATGGAGGTTTCGTTTCTGGAGAACTGGCGCCCAAACCAAACGATTGGGGGCGACAGCGCCAGGCATCTGACGAGAGCAGAGTTGATCCTTGCCTCTCAATGTGAAGTCTAGACTAAACCAACATTGGGTTTTAAATGGCTACTGTAGAACCTGACCGCAGATCGAGCGCTTCAAGAACAAGAATTGGGTCATCGAGCTGCGTTTGAAGGTCTGGACAATTTCTTCTGCACCGTGAAGACTATTCTGGTGCTGCAAGTGCTCCTTCATTCTGCTGCAGTGCTTGGAAGCCTCGTGGTGCAGTTGACGTGCACTCTGCACTCCACCATGTTTCGGCAAACAGTAGATGCGGCTCTTCGCTGTGCAGGCTCTGCGAAAGTGAGGATGGCATAGATGCTAGACCTCCTAGATGGTTTCAAAGCAAAAAAACACCACGACCAAAGCACAGACTTGAGTGACTGCTTAGTCTGCCCGCGTGAGGACTGTGTTCATGAGGCTTGTCCTGCAGCCAGGATATCTTCAAGCACAGACCGCAGAGGTGTATACACGGCAAGCGGCAATGACATCGCAGCTAGAGCTGACAGGCAGCAACTGTCACAAAACCACAAGAGCACCAAGGACATCACTCGTAGACTTTCTAAAGACCTGCTTTGCTTGCACCTGAAGCCATGGCAGGCTGGCCTGCATTGAAGCATAGCGGTCCTGGTAGCTAGAGGGCCTCAAGCCAGGGGCCCATAGCCGGAGTCTGCTGCGAGGACTTCTATGTTCCTTAAGGTTAGCAGCCCATGCTTTTTGTGACCACAACGTGTGGTCTGGATTGCTGTTAGGAAGCTTAAGCTAATTCTCCGTGGTAGGGGTATTTTCTAATAAATGATAGGGGGCTTTGCCTATCATGGCAACTTGACCTAAGTTCCTTAAACCCCTGTGTAACTCCTTGCGCATCCCATGTCCTGCGTCCTTTTCCATATAATTATCGTGCAACCCTTCGCCGTCACATAATTACAGTCATAGTTATAGTTATAGTTACGGTATAGCAGAGCATATCAGCAACTTGTTGCATACCAATTTTAGGGTGACTAAATCTGAGTTCCCTTAACAGCAACCCAGCGGTTGGAGGGCCAAATTGACGCAGGTGATGCGGAGCCTCGCTGGAAGCTGGCCAGGGCCCTGATACAAAATGTAAGCCCCTCCCCCTAAATCACCCCCACCCCCGCCCTGCCCCCCCAACCTCCTGACAATGAATATTCCCGCGGTACTATTAGTGACTATAGTCTACGGCAAAGGAGTGTTCATTATTAGGGGCAAGCACGTATCAACTATTGATGATAGTGCGATGGTGGTAGAAAAGGAATGGTAGCTTTTTGTGGCGCTGCGGTGGTGCTGGTGCTGGCGCGCTGCGGCCGGTGGTGGAGGAGGAGGTGGCTATAGCGGTGGCGGTGGTGGTTGTGGTGGCGGCGGTGGTGAGGTGGCGGCAAGCAGTGGTGACGTGATTTGCGCAAGCTCGTCATGTTCAAGCAGTGGACTAGGCTCCTGCAGCTCAGCGTTCGTTCGCATCATGGGCATTACCAGGAGAACCTTTGGGGAGGTTACGGTCTCCTAGCTCGCGTCAAATGGCTCAGACGGACGATGTCCTTGATGGGGAAGTGGACGTTCGTAACTGTTTGATTGCATGCTTCCCGGCAAGTCCCAAACGAAGAGGTATCAGGCCTGGGGCCTAGTCACACGCCACCTCTCAACAAACAGGCTCGCAGCATCTCATCGGACCCGAGCTGATGAACTGCCAACTCCACGCATCCCTTGGAAGAAGCCTTGAAGCTTTGCCATGCTGGCATTCCACAATCTTGTTGACACTCAACATGCGACAGTAGCCGCATCAAGGCGAGGTCCAAATGAGCTATAGTCTAAGCTCCATAAAGCAGGTTATACGGTGGATTATAATATATGGGAATATTATATAGGGGTTCTTAAGGGGGGAAGCTAGGAAGGTATCGTAGGCTGCACACACAACAGGAAATGGATTGCTGGAGCAGCAGCGCCGATTGTCACCATTCAGCAGCAGCTGTCCCGTAGCCGGTAACGCTGCAGCCTCCGCCAAGCACCAAGCGCACATAGCATACACCTGAGCAACGTTCCCTGCAAGGCCAATGCCTGCGGCCCTACATGGATCTCAGCAGAGGCCGGGGACAAGCGTGAAGCTCTATCGTACATTACATGTCTACCATCTTCGCAGCAAGCAGGTGTGCGCCTTCCGCGTTTGGGCACCGCATGGAGAGGACGTAGCCTGAAACTCAGACTAAATAAATGGGAGGTGCGCCGTCTTGTTTTTGTTTTTGTGACGATGAGGCCATTGAGCTTCAAGGCGCTGAAGGCGCACGAGTCTGATCTGAGCGCAAGTCAAAGTTGGAGCATTCCTGTCGTCACAAGGGGCGGATGCGCGAGAGGCGCCGGATGACTGACAAATTTTGGGTGAGGAATCAAGTAGACGTGTTGTCGAGACTGATTTGGCAGGTGCGCTTGACTCGAGAGGGTGACATGTGGTCTGGGGAGGCTCCCTGCAAACCAGGCGATCGCTACAGGAGCGGGTTCTGTGCAGAAGGGTTGGAGGCTTTAGCCTTGGCATTGCAAGCCTCCATCAACGTGACCATGGTGTGCTGCTTTGGGCTTAAGCGGCTTGTGCTTTGTGGGGCCGCGACCTGCGCAGCCATGGGAAAGAAAAGTCTTGGGCTTTGCGAATCGCAACTTGAGAGCTGCGCCCTCCCAGCTTGGTTGATATACTAAAACTGCACTGAGGTTATCAGAACTATGGGAAGACCTTCCGCAAGCCGAAGCGACCTTTCGAGAAGGCCCTGTGCCAGCAGCTGCCAGAAGCAAGACACTCCGCTAGATCCGCGGCAGGAACGTCTGGATGGAGAGATGAAAATCATCGGAGAGTACGGCCTGAAGAACAAACGCGAGGCAGACCCGACCAGATATGCTCAACGACCTTTCTGAAACACATGCTTGCAAACCTTGATAGTGAGCTTAAGTGAGTTTTCAGAGCACACCAGAGATTTGAATTGTTGCAAACAGATGAGATTTCAACTGGAAACGATAGGGCCTCGGTGACCAAGGTCTGGCGCGTTCAGTATGCGCAACTTGGTCAAAGTTTCGGTCAAGGAAGACGGGTAGAGTAGATGGATGCCAGAGCATGGGTTTGCGTAACACGAGCTCTCCAGCAGTAAAAAAAGAAAAAGATTCAGACAAGCATTCATTTGTCTTTGTCCACCTGGAACCCCTTGAAATTTGAATTGCCATGGTGTTCCTGTACTATTCGCATATGACTGCAACAAAACTACGACCCCCAAAGCAGGTTCTATTCCAGTTGCTTGGGCTCCATATCCTCTTAGGCCAGCTTGTCTCTGCACTGCACCGCCCGCATGGAGAGGTTGGCAAAGATCCGCACCGCAGCGCGCACGCTTCTGACGCAGGAGGAGCGCTCTGAGACGCGAATCTTCCAGGCCTGCCTTCCCCCTTCGATGATCATCACATGGTCCCATTGAAAAATTGGAATAGTGCTGCTTGTAATGGTGGCGGTTTGATTACCTCAGTGGATTCTTATTGCGTCATAGTACAGTATGAGATTTTTGATTTCTCGCACTGTATTCTGTTTGGCTTATTGCGAAGGGCGAAGCTTTGCTGCGCCGCATGGTGCGATTGGGCCTGCTGCTAGAGTCAGAGAAGAGTCTTGACCAAATCAGAGAGTCTCCGACAAGGAGTAGATTTTTTGCGGAGTAGACAGGGGACTTGCCTTACTCAGGGGTTCTTCATGGCTGCGTTCCCTGTTACTCCTCTTCTGCAATGCGGCTTGAGCATCGGGCTGTCGGAGCCGTGCTTTTGTAATTTAAGTTGTTTGACGTTTATACCTTCTGCAGATCTTAAACGTCTGGCGCAGCTTTCGATTCAAGACCTGCTGCGGCAATGCGTTTATTGTTCTGACGCAGGCCAACTGGCAAATCTAAGGAAATTGGATTTCGTGCTGGGCCTTACAACTGCGAAGATCATGGAACGCAGGCTTCAGACCAAGGCCGTCAAGTTTTCAGATACGGATGTCCTTGCCCTGGGTCGTGACGTCCCCGTGCCATGAGAGGTCTTCAAGCTCGGACTTGCCAAATCCATCCATCACGCGTTGCTGCCTCAGCAGGGCACTGACGCAACTACATCAAGCACATCTTCGCACAATACAGTCCTCTCTTGGCAGCCCGCATGTTGAAATGCTGGCTTAGGCGCACCTTGATCCGCCAGAGGCACATTCGTGTGGGCAAACAGATTTGTGGCCACCCGAGCAGAGGGTAGGGGCGGAATTTCATATGCTTCGCGCTATGTGCAGAAAAGAGGTGACATCCCATCATTCCTGGTCCGCCTGGATAGCTTTTGCCTGAGACAGTTTGAGACCTTGACCTTGGTGTTCAGAGATTCGACGTCAGCTTGACGTGAGGCGAGAAGCACATCGACTTTGCCTTGACATCGCCCTTCGGCGGTGGCCGACCAGGCATCCGGCACTAACAAACGCCGTTCCTGGACGATTTTGTGCGCCTCACAAAGGCCGAGTGCGTCGCAAGATGATGGCATCCAAAGGTTTCTTTGCCTGAGCTTCCAACGTGCTTGTGATTGCATGAACCCTGCAGTCACTATCGAACTTTGACTGTCAAGCTCGCAGCACAGGTGGCGGCGGTGGCGGCGATGATGAGGAAGACTAGAGCCTGAAGCAAGCAGGCGCAGACCAGGATTTGGTAGCAAGGAGCTGCAATGATGGGTTCATGATTGCAAGCCTCATGCACAAAGGTAGCCGCTGGAGTACCTGGAGTGCCAGATAGCAGGCAGACCCCAGAAAGCAGCACAGAAAAGCAAGCGCCATGGACTGCTCATGACTGCTCGGGACCCCTTTCCACAGGTATTGGCACCGCATTTCAATTTGCAGAACAGTTTCCTTCACCTGCATGAAGCAGTGACGCGGAGGATAGCCATGGGTTCGAGCTGGAATGATTGCTTCCATCAGGCCTGCATCCAGACATCCTGCTCCTGGCCTGCTCAATGAGCCTGTCAGGAAGGAGCACGCCTATACCGTCGAGACCCATGTGCCAGAGAGTGTGATTTCAATTCATCCTGGCTGCGGCCACGGCTTGCTTTTGAAGCAAATACTGAAAATACACACACACACACCAAAACAAGGGGTACTGCTGTGAGACACAAAGGTGCATACTGCATCCTCCGCTCACGCCACCTCCAGCTTTCTCGGCACCGAAGTTTAACGAGCTGATCATTTATGAGCTTCATGCCTTCAGCTCAGCGATGCCGATCTGCGGCGTGCTTGCAGATGTGTCGTGAGCTTGACCGAGATTGGCAGCTTTGTTTCCGAAGCGGATGAAAGCAAGGGACTTTGCTCCGAGTAATTCTTTCATCATTCCGCATCACGTCAATGCTGTAATCCTCGACGTCCTGTTACAGGAAGAGCCTTCGCGGCTACAGCTGAGAAGCTTGAGCACATAGCATCTTTAGGTCCACAACTGAGCTGGTGCTGTGACAAGGCAGGGTGAGAGGGTATTTCATCACAAGGCTTCAACTGCATTCAGTTCATGCCAACAGCTCCATCCGGCTTGTTTGCCACAAAACACACGAGCTCACACTCAGCGTGCGCGTGCGACATGCCATGGCAGGCCGAGTTTGGTGGCATTTGGGGATACAACTCGCGCCAGCTTCTGGCAGCGCGGAAGACTTGGTCATCGGTTGAGATGAGATGGGAAGTAGAGAGACCTTTCTAGCTGGCAAAGAGGGTTAGGTTTGCAAAGGCATGGTCCTTGGGGCTCAGCCGCCGACATGCACACGATGGTGCAGCGTGCGCTGGAGCCTTGGCCGTTGTCTGCGACGACCAATGGCCAAAACCTTCCTGTGATTCGTTCGTGGGACAATGTGAATGTGATGCTAGATGAAGCCAGGCACAGCCTCGGTATGGCGGTGCTCTTTGACGTTGTGCTCAACCATGGTAGCCTGGCTACCGTTTTTTGCATAGACGGGTCTTGGATGTGTAGAGGCCGGTTCTTGTCAGAATGCTGTTGAGAGCTGAGGCTCGTCGAAGATGAACGTGCTGTGGAACTGGGATGGATACGGCCGCAAGCTTACGATCGTTCATCGACACCGACGAAGGGTCAAGGCCCTGATGCCTCATCAGCATACTATTCATGCAGATGCAGGACCGGACAACTGTGGAGGAATTTATTTCGAGGGTGAGAAGGACACGTGTCTCGCTGGCACTAGCTCAGGCTGCGTTCAGACTACGGGAACCGGCTAAACACAACGCCAGGCCTTGGGGCAAGCGCTTTGCATTCCACAAAGCAGAAGTGCAGGATTACTTGAAGCAGGCTCACCGTACTGAATCTCGTGCATGGCAAAAAGAATCCCGGATGCATTTTTGATAGAGGCATGCCGGACTTGGATTGAAGAGTACGGTGTGGATGGCCTGCGATTTGACTCAGTGCACAACATGCGCCCGCCCCATTTTCAGAACTTCATCCTGCAACGTGCCCGCAGATTGTGGCGATATTTCATGTTCTGGTAGCCTAGGCCCTGGTGGCTTCTGCAGCAGCTCACGTTCGAGATTAAGGAACCCAGTTGCAAAGTAGTGGTTCTTTTTGATTATAACCCCATCTTCCTGGCGGCAGATAGGGAATGAGCCAAATAGCGTATCTAGCGCCTGTCCAGAGGCAGCCTGTCTCAGCCAGTGCCATGTCTCATCCAACTGGAATTGTTCAATAGTTAATAGGGATTTAGACGAAGAATCAAAAGGCTTCCACACAGTACGGTGTTGGAGCATGATGGTGCCTGGGGGCCTTCCTTTTCACTGTTCTGACATTATCCCTGCTAGCACATGAGCAAGACACGTGTCAGCCGAAGGCGCACTATCCCGAGAAAATCCTCATTGCGGAGATCACGCCTGAGAATCCAAAGGCAACCTTGCCAACCGCAGACTTGGCGTCATTTCCTATGCCTGATGCCACTCCTCTCCCACCTATTTAAGATGCTAACTCATCGTCTTTTCTAGCTGTTAGTACTCGGACAAGTCATTATGGTCCCGACAACCACTAACAAGACCATCACTTCTGCTTGTCTTTCACATGCCCATAAATTGTGGACCAGGTGCTCTCCGACGCAGGGCGTGGGGCTAAGCAATGAGGCTTGTCAGCAGCCGTGCATGACTGTAGCAGCCATCGTCTTAGATACAAGGTTCCATTCATGCTGGCTGCACGCGACACATTTTGATTCTGTCGCTTGCTCAGTGGGTGACCTGCTGCCAGATTCTTCAAACGCCACCGTATTTTTTGAGTTTAGTTGCCGGTCTAGACTGGCGGAGCTTTTGGCGTAGCCGACTTTCGTCCAAGGTAAAGATCATGAAGGGTTCGGACGGTGGGGATGATCCCCGCAAACGTCTCGGCATGCTGAAGAACATGGTTCAATCCTCAGGCTGCGCGAGCACTCACATGGCTTCCTAGGTCTGGACTCCGTTAATGAGTGCTGAAAGTTGACTCGCGCTAGTATTGCATGCTGTAGCACATGCAAGACATGCAGGAAGATTTTGCTGAAGTTTGGCGTGAGGTTGCACCTCATGGGTTTGGAAACATCGGTGGTGTGCATTCCCTACTTGGATCGCTTGGCCCACAGCTGCTGTCACATTTTTTGGGCAAGCAGATGCAGTTCTGTGCTTGTCAATCAACATCTAGCTGTCTCCTCGAAAGCGTGTGCACACATAGGGTTTGCTGCTGAGGCATGACCAGATTGGTGACAGACACAACGGAAACCAGGACGGGCTCGGGTCTCAGCTTTGAGAAATTCGGACCAACCTTGGGTAACTTCCTTGCAAGTGTTCAGAGCAAGGCATGGGACCCACCGTTACTACGTCAGCCGTTTCGGCGGCAAGGGCAACTGGCACGCCCGGGCGCAGTGGCCCCAGCACAACAACTGCGTTCGTTGCCTGCAGGAGTTTGTTTTCACTGAGGCAGTGCCGTGCTTGGTTTGGATTTCAGAACTGCTGTAAAGGCACGAGCAGCAGCATTCGCATCTCTACTGCCGCACTTCTGTGCCACAGGTCTTCCGATGACCTTTATGGGTGACCTTGGCAATTTGGATTGCCGCTTCCGAAGATGATGTGCGGTAGGGGCTTATGACATCTGCTAATGTATGCAGGTTTCCTGAGGAAAACGGGCAGCGGGCTGTCCATTTGGATTTGGAAGACCGTGAATTGCAATCCTACCGTTCCTGCAGATGGGACACAATGCCTGGCAGGAACGGAGAATCTCCAAGAAGACTGGTGGCATGTCGTGGGGGGCAAAGTTCAGTGTTGGCGATGCACTTTCGGCTCACCACCTATCCTTCTTGCTGGCATGGCCCAGGATAAGCACCACCGTCTGAACTGGGGGCTTCTTGAAGGCCGAACCCAAACCAGTTTGCATGTCCCTTTGGCAATCTGGCAACAATATCATGACTGAGTTCCTGCACTGCAGGTGGTGATCCGCAGACGGCTGAAATGCGTGCATTTGTAACGGCTTCCAATAAGCTTCGGCTATCCTGCGACGCTGCCTCGGCTACAACAACAGAGCTGCAGCAGTTCCTAGGATGGTATGCCCAGGAGGCCCTCACCAGGGACGAGATCAAAATTGTGCATGAGGCAGCATGGGCTTCTTTGCAGGCATGCATTCTTTTAGGCCATCATTGTTTGATTGTCGCACTCATCAAAGTACACCTGTAGATGCGGGAAGCAGGATGGTGGCAGCACCGTCTTTGCATTTATGCGCTGGACGCAGGCCAACCCGTGCTAGAAGCAGTGAAGCAGAAGCACTTGCTGATTGCCAGCCTAGCTTTTGCACACTGGCTGCACAAAGACAGCAGCTGAGTTACAGCTTGCAGGAGACAGCGGCTCTGTGCATTGCGCATTTGGCCGACTCTCAGTGGGAAAACGCCGCTCAGCTGGCCATGGCGAATGTAAGCTGCGAGCGGTCAGTGCTTTAGCTTGAGCTTGTGTTGCTAAGGACGGCTACGGGGCAAGCCTCTCAGTAGCTGAGCAGCGGATGTTTGCGTGCTGATTTGAAAGCAGGTGGCTGCAACTCATGCAACTCAAGGGCTTTCTTGGGGCGCTCAGGTCAACACTGGCTGGGGTGGAGGCCCTCTCCCGCTGCGCTGTTGAAGCATCACACCGGCTTGCAGTCATCATCAAGTAGCACCAGCAATAAAGCTGCCATCATCAAACGGCCAGCTCAGCTGCTCCGCTGCAGCAGAAGGCAGTCTCTGTTTATTGAAAAGCCTCCGGCAGAACGCAGCCCGAAGCAAGGAGCCCATCGTCAACTTAGTGATTGGCCGAAATCTGCTCACGCCTGCATGAAAGCAAGCAACAGATGCAGCTGCCAATTCCTCATGGGAATTCTATCTTTTGAGCACCCTTCCTTAGCCAAGCCAGAACACCTTGAACGATGTGAACATGGAGCGCCTTTTGCACCCTCGCTGTCTAATTTGGCGCCTTGGTGTTTGTGCGCTAGCAGCTGGGCAGCTGGGGTTTGACTTAGGCAATTCGCACGCTACATGCTACTCTGTTGATTTGTTCCAAGCAGGCCACAGGCCGGCGTGCAAAACAGGTTAGTGGCAGAGCCCACCCATCGAGCGAGGATGGGAAGGGTGGTCCACAACGAGTGTTACGTGAAAACATGTAATGTGAAAACTTGGACGTGTGCCACGCGCCTTCCTGTGTTCGTGCATTGCCTGAAGTGGGATTATGCGTGGTTGCATTCCCGCACGAAATGCTGGTTGCGAGCGTTAAGGGCCCTTGAGCTGCTCCCGTTCTTGTTTCCCTCTTCGTGCACATAGCAGCGGCAACGATGGATGTCACTGCTTGTGGAGCTCTTGAGCGTCTTCGATGACAGCGAAGACTACCAGCGTCTGACATTTTCTAAATGCAGGAAGTGTGGATAGTACCCTAAATATAGGGATTACAGAGACAGAGACTATATTGGGGTTCTATGGGGATAATGGAAAAGAAAATTGAACCTATTATATTGGGGTTATACTCTACGTAGTCGATGCCGGCCGCTCCTGCGGTTAAGCAGCACACAGTGGTCGGATTCACCTGATCCAAAAAAGACTTGCATGATGCGTGACATTGACCTGAGCTTTTTCCACGGGGAGTGAAGCCTGCAACGGTCTTTTCAGCAAATTCACGGACTCACACTTGCGGACCCAGCACAGGGGCATTTTCCAATAACACCAAAGTTTTTTTGTATACACGCACTGGCTTAGAAGGCCTTTCGTGAAAGTTCGCGATGGTGTTCGCAAACGGAACTCTTTCGATTTCGCGTGAGAAGCGTTGTCGGCTATGGTTCCTTAAGCGACAGGTAAAAGGCCATCTTAAGTGTTCAAGCCTTGGCATCTGCTTCAAAAAATGCTTCCACGAAGGTTCGCGATGGTGTTTGCGAAAGGAATTATGGATTTTCGAGCAAAGGTCAGTCTGTCATGCGAGAATTTTGGAGAACACCTAACATGAGATTCCACGCCCAAACTTCCGAACATATGGGTTGTTCTCAAAATTATGGGTCCGTTTCGCTTATAGATTATGGTACGGCGCCTTATACTTGGGGGTACCAAAAGCGGACCCAATCTTGGGAACTACCCATAATATGTCGAGGCAGAGCATGGAAGCTCGCGCTGAACTCGCAGGCAAAGGAGTCCTTGCCTCGAATTTGCCAGTATTTGGGTTGTTTCCAAGATTACACGATAGCAATAGCAATAGCAAATAATACTCGTAAGAATAAGAGCAATAGTAATAGCATATATATATATGTATATATATATATGGGTAGTTCCTAAAATTAGGGTCCCATGTTGATACCCCAAAATATTAGGTGCCGCAATATAAGTCTCCTGAAATGGGAACCCCGTATAGGTTCCCAAACACTATAATTAAGCATCTATAAAGCTTAGCATGGGGACCCCCCAAACGGGTACCCCTGATTTTAGGAATCTTCCATGGTAAGGTTTGGTGGCTGGGATGGCAGTGCTACTCCAGAGCCAAAGGCCGGCTTTGACATGGGGGTTTCCCTAAACAGGGGCAACCCCAATATTATATACCCCAAATACTCTTGTCCTTATTAACCCCCAAAATAGTACCCCTAATTTTGGGAAACCCCGTATGTGAAGTTGCCAATGTCAGCAGGTTTGTGACACAGGGCACTGAAGCTGTTTCATAGTCTCAGACCTCGAATGAAGAAGTATCGAAGACTTGTTTGCGGAGTTGCTTTGAGCCCAATACTACCTACAAAGGATCCGTGACCTAAAATTTCTCCGTGCTTTTCAATTGGCAGCCTCGCGCATCAAAAGCCATGGCGTCAAACGAGCCCGCGCCCTCCCCATCGCAGTCCATCAGCGCAGTTGCTGCTCGTAGCGCGCAGCTCCTTCAAACGCAGGGTTGGGCTTGTCTGGATGACTGCTTATGTGCCGACTGGGCACAGGCTCTTGCTGCCGAGTGTATTTTACTGGAGAAGGCAGGAATGCTGCAACCGCATTGCTTCGAGTTCCAGGCTACGGATGGTGAGCGATGTGAGTACCGGCATCCTGGACGACGCTCGGACAGACAGTCAGACATCACTTGCATAGACGAAGGCTGAGTAGGTTTACTGCACCCAGGTTGTTTCAAGTGGTGCCAATAGCGATCCATGCAAGGAAGCTTTGTGAACCTGGATGGGGTCAACTTTGCTTTGGCACCAAAACTCTCCTCTTTTGCCCGCAATGCTGCGGTGCCCTTGGCTGCTGCACTAGTAGCGCAGCTGCCGTGGCTCGCGCTTCCAGCTAGCCTCGACGATGTTTCGCAGGTCCAGGTGAAGCGCCTTGACTGCTCGCATCAGTTTGGATCTATGCCTTGTATGGACGCAGCCTTTGCGTGTAACAATGTGAGTTCGGGCTGAGGCTGCAACTGACACACGGCACGGCAGGCAGCGCGCCTTGCCACTATGACACCTCCGAGACTGCACCTAGACGCCAAATCACCTGGCTCCTGTATCTGAGTGAGAACTGGAAGCCAGAACTTGGAGCAGAGTTGATCATACAACCCTTTCTGGGTTCGCCAGCAGTGATAGCTCCAATCTTCAATCGCGGCGTGCTATTTCTATCTGATCGGATTTTGCATTACTCGCGGCCCCCAAGCTTGGAGGGCCAGGCCTCGGACTGTGGGGATTTCCAAAAACGCGGTCGTCCCAGTTAATAGGACCCCAGACAAAGCATAAACACTAGAAAGTGTTGGGTACATCGAGGGGACCTTTTTGTTTCTGAAAGTATACTGCGTACTTTGATTTTAGTACGCGTATGTTTGGCCATGGCCCCCGTCCAGGCCTCCCACAGGTGGTTGTTGACAGTGTGGTTAGAAGGGGAGCTCGTTAACGCTCCGCGTGGAGAGCGATGGCCTCCGCTGCTGCAGCGGTTGCTTGCTCCAGCCATCTACTCCGAAGAGTACCTGATGTCCTTGGAACCTGGGTTGTCCTGCTGGACAATCTGATGTTGTTATTCTTCAGTGTTCAACTGTTCAACCCAAGACCGTGATATTACGTACATTTTTTTTTGTCAGTGCGCTAAGATGGCAGCCTAGGAAGACAGCATGCCTCATGGGCCTGCTCTTCGTGCTCTGAGGGCCGCCCAGGAAGAGGAGATACAATCTCTAGAGCAGGATGAGGACTTTGCAGCGTTTCGGCCGCAACAGCTCAATTTTCCTGGGGGAACCCTTAAATCACAAACACCTTCAGGTGGATAGCTGCTGATGGGTACCCCTTAATGTCGCAATAAGGGTAATGGGGGTATGTGAGTTCTCTGTGCGGGCTTCCCATAAGGGTACCCACTTTGCCTGTCGAAAGCATGATTGCTCAGGAGATGCTGCCTGATTTGAGAGACGGAGCAAGACATGCCCTAAATTCACTGCAGCGGCCCAAGGACCTCAAGAGGAAGCATTCAGAGCTGCGAGTTGATGAAAAAGATATTTAGCAATCCGTATGAAGCAAGCAACAGATGATTCTCTGCAAGTTTGCCATCTGCGTTGACGATGGGTGTTGTGCTGTCAGCCACCGTGAGAGGCCGATGATTCTGGAAAGATCATGATCAACATCCCAAAGTGGTTGCAGATCCCAGCTGCTGGTAGTCCAATCACCGAACAGCAGCACGTGACTGTGTGTCCTGAAGGTCAATCCTGGTGTACGTCTCTTCGCAGTGAGATTAGATTCAGGCCGAGCCTTTGCTGAGCCAACTGTTTACAGTATCAGCAGATGCCTGCAAAAAGAAGGGCATCTCTTGCTGCTTCGGGGCTCAGTGCAAGCTTGGCCTCAGCTAGCAACAACCGGGACCTTGCAGCGTTCACTTCAGTGCACATAGCTTGGCTTCGAGTCTTAGCAAGGATTCCCTTTCGAGGAGTTGAAGATTTCAGGAGTTTAATTGGGATTAGTGAAGGGACGAAAGATGGAGTCCGAAGCATCCATGGTCCTCAGCATAGCAAGATCGTCTGTGCACGAACAACTAACACCCGACTGCTTCAACATGTAAAGTGAGGTAGCTTCTCTCAAAAATGTCTGGCACAGAATCCTTCATAAAGCCCCCGCAGGAACCAGAAATTCTAGGAAGCCGGCCTTCTGCCATGGCGCATCCTGAGTCTTGGTGCTCTACCAACTGGGAATGTGACGAAGCAATCAGTATGTGGGCCCTATGAAGTTTGTCACGCTTCTCCTGTGGCAGGGTTCTGAGTCATTCTGAGAAAGGTATTTCGGCTGCAGAGATGTACGTAAGGCGCTCCGGCAACCCAATCTTACAAGGTCTCAGCGGTGGCGTGCATGCTTGGTCTCAGAATCAAGCTCTCAAAGTCAAAGCAGTGTAACGAGCCCAACAGCAGCTCATCACTTTGGAAAATCATTTTTTGTTGTCTACAAATCCTGTCCTTGAGTAGCTCCATAATTCCCGGAAGTGTTGCCAGGATGGAGGCAAAGATGCTCCGGTCCCTCGTCTCTTGCCTGCAAAAACAAGCTTCTGAAGCCCCCATCGCCGGGTACTGTGGAGGTAACGCGTGGGTCTTGTGGGGGCCATGCGGAACTCTTATTGTTCGGATATTCTAGGGGAAGCCAGGGGTTGATCCAGCATTCTTAGGGGGTGGCACAGGGGCTCTATGCT